ACAGAGCTGGGAAGAGTTTGTGTTCCCACTACCCAGAGTGAAAAGAGCCCACAACACACAAGGTATCAGGTAGAGTCCTCAGATGCGTGTTGCCTCAGCAGCGGGGATACATTAGTCCTTGACTAAAGGCAGCTCTTGACCCAACCTAACAAAGCTTAAAAGCAAGTCTTGAAAGGATAAAATTAATCCAAAAGAACATACCTACATGTCAAAATTCCACTATTAAAGAAAATACAAAATCCAGTACCCAACATGTAAAATCCACGATGCCTACCATCCAATCAAAAATTACCATGCATGCAAAGAAGCAGGAAAATATCCGTAATCCAGGGAAAAATCAACCAACGGAAATGAGAGAGATGATGGAATAAGCAGACAAGGACATTGAAACACTGATAAGAGAAAGAAATGAGGTGTAAGAATCAGAAAGGAGGCTACGAAGCTGTGATTATTTGTAGACATTATGACCAAATGCAAAAAATCAACAGAATCAACAGACACATTCTCACAACAATCTTAAGAGGCAGGTGTATCTATCATCCACACTTGAAAGATGAGTACGCTAGGGCATAGAGTGGTTAAGTAACTTGCTCAAGGTCACAGGGCTATAAGTGACAGAGATAGGGACTCTGGACCCAGCAGTCTGGCTCCAAAGATAGAATAAGGGAGTCTGGAAAGACTTATAAAAATTAGTAACATTTCTTTACATCAGTATCAAATAAGCCCAAAACATAATTGAAAATAGGTAATAACTCACAATTGCAACTAAACCTATAATGTATCTGGGAATCATCAAAAAGAATACACAAGACCTTATGTATATGTATACCTTATCCATAAGGTGACCCTTATGATTTATCGCCCAAGTTGAGAGTAAAAGGAAGGGACATGGGGATGACAGGGGAGACTGGGACTGTCCCAAGCATATCGAGATGGATGTTCACCCTACTTAATGGAAATAAATATAAAATCTATTAAAGATCCTAAAAGAAGATCCACATAAAATAAGAAACATTCCACCTTTTTGGAGGGGAAGACAATTCTCAAATTAACCTGTAATTTTAGTTCAATCCAACAGAAATTTATCTTGGAACTTGATTAACTTATTCTAAAATGTACATGCCCTCCAGAGTCCTCCAAGTTGAAAATCATGCATCTGTGCATTTGTAAGGAGTCCATCAGAAGGACTGGGATGTCTGTGGAGTGTCACAGGTGCACAACAGCCACTCAGGATGGCTGCCTCTGACCAGAGCTGATAACCCATCAGCTGGACAGAAAAGGTGGGCAGGTAGGCAGTCCACTTTCATCCCTCTGCCTGTCTCTCTTTTCCTCCCTGAATCAGTCGTACAAGTCTTTCTGAATGAGTCACATACCACTCATTCAAGGCGGAGCTCAGCATAGTCAGGTGGCTTCTATGTGAAAGCAGGAGGCAAACTTGTAAACAGTCGATGCACGAACTGGCTGCTCATCTAAAACCGCGAACATCTCAAGTGCAGGATCCTGCAACAGTGCCTGGCCCAGAGAACAGGCTACAAAATGTTCTAAAGGAGGAAGTGAAGGAGAATGAGGGAAAGGGGAAAGCTGAGAAGGGCAAGGAAAAGGAAAAAGGTGGAAGAAAGGGAGGGGACGTGGGGAAGAGGACCAAACAGCCCTGCTGGGAGACTGAAGCCTTCTCGCTGTCACTGCGGACCCACCACCATGATGGAAAGGGCATGGGTGATGGAAGCAGACGTGCCTTGTGGGAGCCCCAGCTCAACCACTCACTGATGGTGTGATCTTGGGCAATTCTGCCAACCTCTCCAGATGGCAGAGTCCAGACCAGGGACATATCAACCAGGGGCTGAGGGTTGCGGGGATATCTGATGCAGATTCTAGTAAAGAAAGGGGGCACCTTGCAGGTGCTTCCAGCATGGTCTGCAACCCCAGCTGTGAAGCCACAGTCCCTTTGGGGACAGCATGCTGCCAGCCAGGCAGGGGCTTAACAGTGGGTCTTGGGGCAGTGGCCGTTAGGTCCCTGCTCCATCTTGATAGCTACATGAGCTTGGAAGGGGTTCCCAGTCCTGAAGCACAATCAAACAACTCTCAGCTGCTGGCATCCCCCCAAGGGCTGTCATTTCTGTGCAATTACCCTGCAAATAAAAAATCTGAACAATTGCCACTCAGATGCTAAGAGATGCAGTCGACCGATTTCAAGAGGAACATCAAAGCCGCTGACTGGGGAGTGCCTATTTTATTGGCACTTGCCACAAGGAGATAGCCATTTGTGAAGATGGCCTGTCATGAAAAGGTCACAGCTGACAAATGACTCTTGGCTGCCTTTCTCCACGAGGCCGGGATTAGGTAGCCTATGAGTTGCTCCATTATTGGGGAAATGGGCACTGGAGCCCACTCCAAAGTTAAAAAGCACCTTCCAATCCATTTGTCCTCACAAATCCGGTGACTAGTGGGTTATCATTGTCTCAATCCTGATTTTACAGATGTGGGAGCCAAGGCACGTTCATCCAACATTACACAACTGTGGGAAATAACCATGTTCCGTGAGAATATGCCCTGTCAAAGACGAAGAAGAGATAGAGCTTTAGTTTGAAGTGCTGGATCCACCACTGCCTGGCTGCAGAAACCTGGATGAACTCACTGTGGAGACTCAGTTTCCACATCTGTAAAATAGGGATATGGACCGTTCCTACTTCTTAAGGAAGTTGGGAGGGGTAAAGCACATAATGGAATGAAAGAGAGACAGGCTAGAATGGGGGAAGCATGTGCGGTCAGGTGAACTCACGGTGGGTGGGCTGCTGAGTTTGGCTCAGGAAACCTCGGGACCTTCTCAACCCATCCTGCATCCTGCCTACAGCGCTGGTGAGACTCAGCCCACCTTCCTAGACAGGCACTTGAGACCCTCCACCCCAGGTCTGTTCCCCTATCCCCTCGGGAGACCCAGCACCCCAGCAAAGCAGCCTTTTCACGGGGCTGCAGACTCTCTGGGCTCCCCTGAACCTGCACTGTGTCCTTGGCCACGGCTCAGGCCACCCATTCCTTCCACCAAATCAAATCCCCACTTTTCCTTCTCTGACAATATCTACCTTAAGTGTGACAATGGGTCACAAACCAGCGTGCATTGGAGGAAACGCCCTGCCCCACTCCCCATGCAGCTAGCTCCTCCATGTAGTCCCTGCCTCGCTCCACCCCTCTCCTCGTCCCCTCCTGGGTGAACTGGGAATCCACCCCACCGGGCCGGCTTGGCTCAGATCTGCTCTGGGAGCCCCACTTCTGCTCCTCCAGGAAGGCTGCTGCCAGGACCACCCCCCTGCCCCGCCAGGGACACCTGTGATTGTGTGACTGAGTCTGTTTAATTCTGGGATGTTTAGCAAGCCCATCTGGCTCTCTTACTATTTCTGTCTTCTGAATTAGCCTTTCACAGTAAGACAGATGATATTTCCACCTGTACCTGCCTTAGTCTTTGTCTTGTGTCTCAATTTTATATAGAACACAGGTGGGAACAGGGTGCCACTTCTTGTGTCCCTTAAGACATCAACAACCTGTATACACCTGGAAGGAGCCATGACCTTGCCTGGAGCAGGTTCCATGGCTCTTTGCTGGATTATGCATTTGTGTTCTGAGAAATACACTTACATTAAAAAAAAAAAATTAAAATAACTAGGTAAAGGACCTGAGGGACAGAAGGTAGGAACAAAAACAGCAGCTCTAGAATATGGTCTGTACACCCACTCACTGACACAGTCCTCTGGGAGTCTGCCCTTTGCTGGGGAAGGCAGCGGGCCCCCAGCAGTGACAACACGGTGTCGACTCTTAAATGTCACCTCCTCAGAGAGACCTCACCTGACTCTCCCACCTACAGTGGATCCCACTTCCCCCTCGCCATCCCCCCACCCCATCACTATCACACCATCTTATTCATTTCTTTATCGGCACTGATCATGATCTATCATTTTAAGTGCTCTTTGTCTAGAATGTGCATTTCTGAGAGCTGGGACCACCCCAGCAGTCGTGAACACGATGCCTGGGACATTGCTGCCTCCTCAGCATCCCAGTGGAATGAAGGAACAGCGTGGGATATGCTAGGATGGGAGAGGAAGTTGGCAGGGGGAGGGGTAAGTGGGAGAACTGGTTGTTCCGGGAAGGCTTCTTGGAAGAGGGGGCTCCTGAGGACAGAGATTGTGCCTTAGGACAGCTGAGGACAAAGTCCACTTGTTCAGGTAAAAAGAGGTGGAAAGGTAAATCTAAGAAGAGGGAAGGACACGGGTAAGCAGCACGTGGTCACACGCAGTACGCGCAGAAACAGAAGTGTAACAAAAGGGGGCTGGTGAGGGAGGCTGGGTTGCTTGTGGGGCACAGAGGAGGGTGTGCAAGATAAATGCGGAGATAGAAGTGATGCAGCACAAGTGAACCCCTCAGCACAGAGCCAGACATAAGGATGGTGGCAACCACAGGCCACGGAGGCAGCACCAGAGATGAGGCCAGAAGAATGGACCAGAGAGAGACCTCCTGGGGGAGAATTGGAGGAAGAGGGTTCCAGGC